TGTAAAACAGAACCAGGTCTATTCTATAAATTCATAAACAACAAATTGCAGGTAAAGAATAATAAAATTGCAGGTAAAGAATAATATTCAGAGGTTGCAAATGGGAAATAGATTCACGGAAAATGAAAAGGAAATGTGTGAAACATTAAACGAAAAGTTCCAAAGTATGTTTGTATAAAATGAAATCTTCAGGGAACCAGACAATAAGAATTCCAGAGAACAACAGAGCACATAGAGGTGTCTAGAGACGAAGTGGGAAAAATGCTCAAGGAGCTAAGTAAGAACAAAGCAGTTGGTCCAGATGGAGTTTCAACATGGGTTCTGAGAGAATGTGCACCTGAGCTCAGCATTCCACTTCAACTGAATTTTCAGGCATCCCTGTGTACAGGATTCGTAGCAGATGTGTGGAAACAGGCTAACATAGTTCCACTCTACAAAAGTGGCAGTAGGAGACCCCCCTCAATTGAAGACCTGTATCAATGACTAGTGTAATAGTGAAAGTATTGGAAAAACTAATCAAAACTAAATGGGTAGAACACCTGGAGAGAAATGATATATCAGACAGACAGTATGGTTTTCGATCTCGAAGATACTGTGTATCGAATTTACTCAGTTTCTATGATCGAGCCACAGAGATTTTACAGGAAAGAAATGGTTGGGTTGACTGCATCTATCTGGACCTAAAAAAGGCTTTCGACAGAGTACCACATAAGAGGTTGTTCTGGAAACTGGAAAATATTGGAGGGATGACAGGTAAGCTTCTAACAAGGATGAAAAATTTTCTGACTGATAGAAAAATGAGGGCAGTGATCAGAGGCAATGTATCGGACTGGAGAAATGTCACAAGTGGAGTACCACAGGGTTCAGTTCTTGCACCAGTGATGTTTATTGTCTACATAAATGATCTACCAGTTGGTATACAGAATAATATGAACATGTTTACTGATGATGCTAAGATAATAGGAAGGATAAGAAACTTAGATGATTGTCATGCCCTTCAAAATGACCTGGACAAAATAAGTATCTGGAGCACCACTTGGCAAATGGAATTTAATGTTAATAAATGCCATGTTATGGAATGTGGAATAGGAGAACATAGACCCCACACAACCTATATATTATGTGAGAAATCTTTAAAGAATTCTAATAAAGAAAGAGATCTAGGGGTTTCTTGAGATTATCTTGAGATGATTTCGGGGCTTTAGTGTCCCCGCGGCCCGGTCCTTGACCAGGCCTCCACCCCCAGCAAGCAGCCCGTGACAGCTGACTAACACCCAGGTACCTATTTTACTGCTAGGTAACAGGGGCATTCAGGGTGAAAGAAACTTTGCCCATTTGTTTCTGCCTCGTGCGGGAATTGAACCCGCGCCACAGAATTACGAATCCTGCGCGCTATCCACCAGGCTACGAGGCTACAGGCTAGGGGGTGGTTCTAGGTAGAAAACTATCACCTGAGGACCACATAAAGAATATTGTGCGAGGAGCCTATGCCACGCTTTCTAACTTCAGAATTGCTTTTAAATACATGGATGGCGATATACTAAAGAAATTGTCCACAACTTTTGTTAGGCCAAAGCTAGAATATGCAGCGGTTGTGTGGTGCCCATATCTTAAGAAGCACATCAACAAACTGGAAAAGGTGCAAAGACATGCTACTAAGTGGCTCCCAGAACTGAAGGGCAAGAGCTACGAGGAGAGGTTAGAGGCATTAAATATGCCAAAACTAGAAGACAGAAGAAAAAGAGGTGATATGATCACTACATACAAAATAGTAACAGGAATTATCGATAGGGAAGATTTCCTGAGACCTGGAACTTTAAGAACAAGAGGTCACAGATATAAACTAGCTAAACACAGATGCAGAAGAAATATAAGAAAATTCACTTTCGCAAACAGAGTGGTAGACGGTTGGAACAAGTTAGGTGAGAAGGTGGTGGAGGCCAAGACCGTCAGTAGTTTCAAAGCGTTATATGACAGAGTGCTGGGAAGACGGGACACCATGAGCGTAGCTCTCATCCTGTAACTACACTTAGGTAATTACACTTAGGTAATTACACACACACACACACATTTGGCAGTTGGGTGCATCTGGGTGCATCTGTTTTGTTGCATTTTTTATATATATATATTATATACCATTTTGAGCTAATCGCCAATACCTATGTTCCTTTACCCCACACAAATCATATGACCTCTTCCAGATGTGCAACATTTGCCTTAAACCAGCAAATAGTAGAACTAGGAAGGAAAACACCTTAAATCTTATTTTTACAATCTATGATTAATTGATAAGGAACATAATGATTACAAATACATGTTATTCAGTTTACAACCTAATTAAAGTTCAGCCATGAAAGGGCAATAGACCTGTCTAACCAGTCTAGCCTCCAAGAGGAGGAGAATTCAGCAAATTCAATTACAATAACAAATTAACTGGGAACAAATAAACCAAGACCTCAGAAATATGCTGGGAAAGACAGCTAGATAATGCAAACTTAAACCAGTCCCTTGAGAGAACAGGCACAGTAGCACTAGAAATGTGCAAATTGCATACCATTAAGGAGAAAGAGACCGAGCACCTCTACACCCTCATGCAACCACTCTGAATGGAGCTCCATGATGTCTAGAAGTCTCATGACCAAAGCCAGATGTGAGCTAAAAAATCCTTCACTGCAAGGAACACTGACATCAGACACACTTGGGCATGAAGTTGCACCAAGCAAACATTCTGGGAAAGTGGGAGAATACAGGCAGTTATTCGGCAGCACAAAAGGAGGACCACCCAAAACACCTGAAACATGGTTGCCACCTCACACCACTGGAGTATGGGAATGACAAACTGTGCCAAGCCCCGAGGGAAAACGGGGCATTATCTGCTAGCCAGGATGACACCGGGACCTCGTAACACAACAAAAGGCATGCTAGACCTAAATTCAAAAGAGGCAGGGTCCATCAAAGAAGCATACTCCAAGTCACACAGGCAGTATTTAAACAGATTCTCACAAGCTACAGATGGACGGACCCGAGAAGGAAACGCATGAAAAAAGGTTCTGTCAGGCCTAATGGCATGAGGAAATGCATCATAGGAAAAGCCACATTCAAATAAAAATCATACAAGGAGGGGGGATATGAAAACACCCCACCCCTTTGAAGCAACAGGGGATTTGCCAGTACTCACCTAGTTGTGCTTGCGGGGGTTGAGCTTTGTCTCTTTGGTCCCGCCAAAGTTCATCTAAAGCTCATCTAAAGGTATAAAGACCCATTTGGGTTCCAAAGGAATCTAAAAGTCCTCCTATTTTACTCCCCCTCATGCCCTGGGAACCGACCATGAAGGCCCAGGGCAAAGATGGCATCCTTACCTTCTGTCCGGAATAGAAAAGAGTCCAAGGAAGAGGGGCAAGTGATAAGATGGGTTTGGCTGGAAAGAAAACTCAAAACTCAGCGAGATCAGCAGGCTCAACTACTTTCTCGTTCGAATTGGAAGGCGCTGCCCCTGTAGGCGACCAAACCACATCCTAAGTTAAACTTTGCCTCGACCTAGAAACCCTCGGATGCTTCAGGGCCAGAAAGGAAAAAGGAGGATGGAGCCAAGGAGTAGTTCACCAACAGCTCTAATTTTGGGTTCCTAAACACAAGGTGGGCCATTTCCGGAACATCCAACGGGGGGCACAACTAGAGCATTGCAATCTAGCAAAACGAACCCACAAAGCAGTAGCAGCACGATACGTACTAACTTCATTTGAAGTTAGACGTGCAAATGAAGTTAGACGTGCAAATGAAGTTAGACGAGAGCCATACAGGGAGCACAGACCCCACATGGGTCGTAGGAAATTTTGACCCAATACTTGGCATGCCAGAGGCAGAATAAATGATTAACGGGTGTAGTTCTGTGGTATGGACGACAAACAACAACTAAACTGGCACGAAATGAGGATGGGTTTAGAGGAAATATTCATAGGCCAAATGTTGCCATAAGGAATGTCCAGAGCCTGAAGAGTAAACCAAGTAGGACACCCAGGCACTGGGAATGCTATGCCAGACCCAAAAGTTAGCCAACACAGCCTGGGCTACACAGCTGTGAAGGCTGCGCATCATATATACAAGCTGCTGAGCTACCCTGCACTGCACTAACAAATGCTCCTGACCCAGATTCAGACAGAGGGGGCAACAAGACCCCTGATTCACCCAAGGCAAGGTCAACCTAAACAGGAATAACCTTTAAGGGAGTGAACTCCGAACACACCAGAGAACACTTGGGGAAGGTAACCCTGACCACGTGCAGCTCTAAGCACTAACAGCCAGAACCTTGTTACACCAGTGTACAAAACAAAACACACAGGACAAAGTTCCAGAGAAGCACTTAGCTGAAAAATACCAGGGCCATCCACAGCTTACTGATGACTCTGAGGCCCTACTGCAGATGTCTGGAAGGCATCGCATCAGTGGAGGAATGAGGGCTTGAGCCAGTGGACAGCATGAGCCTCAGCCTCCTTCACAAAATGATTGCGAGGGTTGGGGGTGAACAAGTGCATACTTGTTTTGGGAAATTTGTTATCGTTTGTTTGCCCTGTTGGGAATGTTTATTCAACAGGTTGTGAGGCTTTAGTCTCTTTGAACCCAGTCGTGGTCTGTATTGGTTCGCCAACTTTCTGAGTGCCTTACTTAGTGAGGTGGTGGAGTGTCACCTGGTTCCTGTGTCAGTGAGGAGGCCAGGGTCAGGCTCTATTTCCAGGTAGGCTGAACTAAACTCCACAGCAAATGTAATCCAGTAGCTAGGGGCCATTTCAGCAAGATGACTTCAGGGAGCCTCAGGGGGCTCCCCCACCCCCAGGGAGAGCCAAGACTAACAAATGCCAACAAAGACCGAGTTCTTCCGTACCCAGCCTACACCATACCAACTAGAATTATTTATTATACATAATAACTTTCAATAGGTTTTTTAGGGTCTGAAACATTTGGGATAATAGGCACAATAATCTACATGTTTGAAATAAACCTACCTGATCAAAGCTATCATCAGCAGTAGCCATTATGACTGAGCTACCCAAAATGTACCTATATACTACAGTATATGTACTTGATAATAAACTTTAATTTCAGTAACAAAGTCCTTGTTCAGTTCTACAAAATAAGTTAACACTTATTTTTCCTGTAAACCACAAGAAAAACTACACTTGCTCAATGTCTGAGCAATCAGTTCACTTTAAGTGGGTTTCTTCAAGCTGCAAATCTTCTCTGGCAGATACCTTTAAAAAAACAAAACAAAAAATAAAAATTACAAGAGATTAGTTATTAGCTATGTTTCAAATGTAATTGTAACAAAGCAGTGTTTTCATAAATTATTTTTATCTTATCACAGGACACAGAAAATGGTAAACAATTACAGGAGGGTGCTATAATAAGTACAGTACAAGGATTAGAGTGAATACAGATAGCTATACAGAGGGGTATATCATAAATTGGGCTCTTCTTGTACAAGAGTAAGATGAAAGATATACAATAATTGACACAGTAATGTAGATTTAGCCGTCACAAATCTTCATCATTTGAAGTCCTTTAAACAGTGTCCTATGGTTCCTAATAGGAAGCCTAAAGATGTAAGTGACACCCTCTTAAAGTGTCTTGCCTAGTTCATCAGTTGTATCATACATTCCAAGGCCAACATAAGACAGAATTCACATTAAAAACTACCGACCCCAAGAGTGGGAGACAGTACCTCTATCCACCACGCTACTGAATAGCCAAATCAGGAAGGATTCCAGAAAAATCTAAATGCTGCTGTTAGGATTGAAGGCATTGTGTAGGATTAAGTTCATACAAGAGTAGATGCTCTTTTGTTCTATATGTACAGTATACAATGGATACATGGAACCTTTACCAGTCATTGGTGGTGGATGTTGTTTTTGTTAAAAATAAAGCATGCTACAGAGACACGTGTTTCCCTTTCAGCCCAAACATAACAGTAACAACGAGGAGTAACAGCAGAGGCAGGGAATCTGGCCAGTGAGGAGGATGAATGGCATTAGATAGCAAAAAGTATTTTGTATGAACAGGCAGGAAGAACTATAGACAACGAAGTTGTATTTAACCTCCATTGCCATGGCTGCTGCCTCACTCCAAGTCAAGATGGGACCGTCCAATGTGGCCAGTTTTCACTAGACCTGTGGTTGAGCCTGCTAAAGGCAAATTGAGTATCATGGGATTAAAGACGATGCAAGCAAAAAATCAGTACTCGGCTTCACTGGGTACAGTAGTATATACTGTCCTGGGTAATGTGTGCACCCCAGAGTTTCCACACACAAAGACCTGATTACTCTGCTTAAATGTCATTATATAGTGAGACTTAATATCACAGGATGTTGATGGATTTCCAGAAGAGGACGAAAAGCAGCAGGAATCCTTACTGACGTTATATGTGGATGATGGCATTGGCTAACAACTGCCACTTTGGAGCAGTTTGACTGCTGGGTCGGGGACCAATTGTTCATGGCAGTAGAAAATTAAATATTTTTCCCTGACCTGGTGGCAGAAAACTTCGATTTGCAATCAATGGACACTGGACAGTGTTATAGAGGATTTTTTTTTTTTTACTTGGAAAGGGCTTTTGGGAGTAAGACATCTAATGCTCTAGAAATTAAGGTCATACAGGGCCAGAAGAGTTGTAAACATTGTAGTAATAAACAGTATTTTAACTGCAAGTTTAGGGATTTCATCTGCAACAATTGTGAAAAGAATGGGCACATGAGGAAAATTTGCAGAGAGTACTTTAAGGCATATGCTATAGTAATGATATTCCATCTTCCAGTACTAATGTTCAGGGCTATCTTACAGGTAACTACCCACTGTCTCTGTACCTAACGCCCGCTAATTCCACTGATGTAAGTGAGGTAATCTTTTCCCTTAAGACCAAGTCTAGTGCCCTTGCAGAGATACCAACTCTAATCTACAAAAAAGCCTTAGGATCTTTAGCCCCTGCCATTGCATTGCTCTATAACAAGTCACTTGAACTCGAAACGTTTCCAGATATTCTAAAAAATGAGAGTAACCCCAGTCCATAAATGTGGTGATCTCACTGATGTCAACAACTTCAGACCTATATCAATTTTGCCAAACTTTTAAAAAATATTTGAAAAATTTATCTAGAAGTAGCTTTACTCTTATCTAGCCAAACAATATACTAAGCTCTTGTCAATATGGCTTCAGACCCAAAAAAGCACTAACGATGCACTTATTAGTATGATTAGCTTGATACATGCAGCTCTTGATAAAAATGAGTTCCCTGTTGGGATATTTGTGGACCTATGCAAGGCTCTTGACACTATCAACCACCAAAACCACCTTCTTAAATTACATCATTATGGAGTCGAAGGTCACTCCCTGCAATACCTTCAGTCCTACCTTACTGACAGGCTCCAGTAAGTTTCTGTGAACGAGTCCATTTCTCCGACACTACCTATAAACATCTGTGTTCCACAGGACAGCATACTTGGCCCTTTCCTCTTTCTCATCTACATTAATGACCTTCCAAATGCCTCAACACCTCAAACCAATCTTATTTGCTGATGACATAACTTTCATTTTCTCCAGTCCTGACCCTCTTGCTCTAAATGTCACTGTGAATACTGAACTAAATAAAGTCCATCTTTGGCTAACTGCTAACAAACTCACCCTTAACATTGACAAAACTTTCTATATTTTGTTTGGTAATAAATCCTCAAATGAAATTAATTTAAGAATAAACAGTATACAAATCAGCAGTAAAGTTGATGGTAAATTCCTTGGTGTCCTCATCGATAACAAGCTGAAATTCCAGGGACACTTTCTAAATATAGCAAAAAAAAACAGCGTTGAATGTATGAAATGCCATTTTCTGGGCGAGTCCCGGAGGCTCCCCGGAGCTATCCCAGGCTGATATGCTAATGTCAGACTTTGGCATCAGTCATGTGTATGGAGTTCTTAGGCCTACCGGGGACCACGGCCAGAACCGGGCCCCCCTCAGAGAGGCAAGGGGAGCAATGGCCTATAGAAGCCCCCGTGTGGTTGGAAGCATTCTATGTCTGCCATCGACCGGAACAGGCACCCAGAAAGGTAAGCGCCTCAAAAAAAAAAAACCTATTCTGGTTAAAATTGCTACCTAAAGCCGAACTAGTGGAAAGAACTCCCCAACCGAAAACAAGCAAACTAGTGTCCTTCAACGCTTCCTAGAAGGTTGTAACAGAACTCGTGGGCACCACACCAGAAATAAATACCTATTTGATATTCCAAGAGTAAGACTTAATCAAACTAGGAATGCTTTACAAATCAAGGGACCCAGAATGTGGAATGACCTTCCCAAATATGTCAAAGATTGTATCTCTCTCAACCAGTTTAAGATGAAAACTAAGTACTACCTAATTAACTCCATGTAACCTACCTTACTTCTAAATGTCAACCCATGTCTTACTATAAAAAAAAAAAAAAAAAAAAAAAAAAAAAAAAAAATGCTGTTTGTTGATCTATTTGTATATTGGCTATTTTCTATCATGTTCCCCCCCCCCCCTTTTTTTTATCTTTTATTTTTTTTTTCTTTCAACGCAATTTAAACTTTAAGCTCAATTACTATTAAATTTTAGTCTAAGTGTTTTTTCCTCACCTCACCTTGCCCGAAACGCTATGCATACTAGTGGCTTTAGGTACTGTATGTACTACCTCTATCTTTAAATCAAACAGAATGTTTGTACTGTAACTACAACTTTGTATGTACTTTTTCTAAATAAATTATTATTATACTTTGGAGTGGTTATGACCTGGGAATGCCAAAAAAACAGGAGAGGAAATGGTAAAGTGGTCAATGTAGTAGAGGAAGGCAAGACGGCTAAAGAAGCTGCAGGTGAGGAAAGCAGACTATATTCAGTGAAAGAGAAAGTATGCTGTGTGAAGTCAGAAGAGGTCAATTTGTAATTAATGGCTAGTTCCATTGGAATTGGACAGTGGTGCTGCAGTGTTAAACTTGTCTAGTTAACTTTTTGTGGGGTTGCATTCTGGGGGAGGGGGACTTCAGTATAAGCCTAACACATACTGAATGTATAACCTGGCTTCCTGTCCCCAACAATGAATTATTATTATTTTATGTCTTTGGTGCAGCCTTTTGAGGTATGGTTAAAACCTTTACATCTAAAGCACTGAGTGGGACGTGGTATGTACACCTCTAATTTATGGAGTAAGCCGTTAATCCAAAACTAATTAGGGGGAAAGTAGTCTAAAAAAGTAAGTAGGGCAGTGCCTGTATCACTCAGTGGCAGTCAGTATCCTTGCCCGTAATGCTGTGCGTATTAGTGGCTTTAGGCATAATATGTACTAGCTCTATCTAGAAACCAAACATTATGTTTGTATCTCATTTTGAATGCATTTACTTTTACCTGAATAAATATCATCTTATGTTGTTGTGGGGGTGCAATCTGGGAGGGGGGGGGGGTCAGTAATTCAACCCACATTGGGGGGTGGGGAGTTGACCTCCATATAGGCCTATAACATGTTTAGATTAGATTTTTCAAATGCAATGAGTTTCAGGCATTTGCCTGAAACGTTATGCGTATTAGTGGCTTTAGGTATTGTGTGTACTAGCTCTATCTATAAATCCAACATTATGTTTGTAAATCAACTATGTATGTACTTTTCCTGAATAAAAAATTATTTATGTATAAACACACTCTGGCTACCTGTCCCCCGACACAATGAATTATTGTTGTTGTTGTTTTACATTTAGCTACTCAGAAGAAATGTCCATGTAGCACAGGCTATGGTGAACCCGTAACACAATGAATTATTATTATTATACAGTACCTCAACAATCTTCTTCTTCTTCTTCTTGATAGTAGGTGCCTTTTGCATTAAGGGTTTGTCCTCCCAACGACTGCACAGCTCAAAAATCTGTTGTTTTTGAGGGGCGACTACGATCAAGGAATCGGGCGTCCGTCCACCAGCGATTGGTGATGTTGTTGTTGTAGTGGGTTGGGGGCAGGTAGAGCACACGCGCAGGTGAAGACCTCAGTGAGCCAGCACAGTACACGACGGTTCCTGCTGCTGCTCGCTCGCTCAGGAGTTACGAGTATCACGAAGCAATTACTAAACTACTTACGAACGTGTGCATGAACAAATCCACAGGGTTCGAACGTGTGCATCTTTCCTCAATCTTTGACAGCTTTGGCTATATTTATTAAACAGTTTACAAACATGAAAACTACTTAATCAACTGTTGTTATTGTTATAATAAATAAATAAATAAATAAATAAATAAATAAATGTTTATTTAGGTAAGGTACATACATACAAGAGATTTTTACAAAGATTGGTGGACTTATAGATAGAGCTAGTACATACAATGCCTAAAGCCACTATTACGTAAAGCGTTTCGACATGAGATGGAGACCACATGAAATGGACTCTGTTACCATCCTTAATAATTTTGTTGTATTTGTGTCTAGCTTCGGACACGAGCATGTTACAGTTATGTCTTAAAGAGTTGAGAGCATTTAAGGATGATAAGGAGTCACTTACAATTAATGTATCAAGTTTTGAGACTTGTACACATTTCAGTGCAAGGATCAAGGCAAATAGTTCAGTCTGAAGGGTAGAGGCCCAGTTGTTTATACGGACTCCCCACTCAAAGTATAGGCCATCGCCCATTGTCAGGACAACTGCGCTTCCAGCTGCACCCGTGGTGCGGTGTAGGGAACCATCAGTATATATAATTTGAGAGAGAGAATGCTCTGTGGACAGAGCATTAATATGGCTTAAGGCGTTGAGCTTTGCCTCAAGACGAAGCTTGGGCTGATCTCTAATTTGCTTCTTGGGTGGAAAGGGAGGGATTAAAACTGGAAAGGGTGTAACCTCCCACGGTGCAGGAAAGTGCCGTTGTTGTTTCTCTTGGTACAAATCATGAACCTGATACATTCTGAGTTGAGTTCCAGTTTTTGTTATCCATTTGGAACAATGCTGATCTTCAATAAAGAAATTCTGGAGGGCTTCTGTGCAAGGATTAGGATGAGTTAGCCTAAGCATTTTTATACCAATTTGACAGTTAATTTCAGTAACACGATCAACAACGCTCAGAATATTAAGTTCCTTTCTCATATTAAGTATCTTTGTGGTACGAGGGCACCCAAGGATTATCCTCAAGGCTTCGTTTTGCAATTTTTCAAGCCCTCCAAGCTTTCTTTCAGGCATCAAAACAAGCAGAGGTGCAGCATAATCTACTAAAGATCTGATGTATGCAAAGTACATCATTTTGACAATTCTGACATTGGCACCATAGCTTGAGTGATAACCTGCAACAGCCTTGAGAGCTCGGAGCCTCTCTTTAAACTGACGACAGAGTCTGAATACAACAGGACCGTACAGTGGCACCTCAAGGCCGCCTCAAAAAAAAAAACCTATTCTGGTTAAAATTGCTACCTAAAGCCGAACTAGTGGAAAGAACTCCCCAACCGAAAACAAGCAAACTAGTGTCCTTCAACGCTTCCTAGAAGGTTGTAACAGAACTCGTGGGCACCACACCAGAAATAAATACCTATTTGATATTCCAAGAGTAAGACTTAATCAAACTAGGAATGCTTTACAAATCAAGGGACCCAGAATGTGGAATGACCTTCCCAAATATGTCAAAGATTGTATCTCTCTCAACCAGTTTAAGATGAAAACTAAGTACTACCTAATTAACTCCATGTAACCTACCTTACTTCTAAATGTCAACCCATGTCTTACTATAAAAAAAAAAAAAAAAAAAAAAAAAAAAAAATGCTGTTTGTTGATCTATTTGTATATTGGCTATTTTCTATCATGTTCCCCCCCCCCCCCTTTTTTTTATCTTTTATTATTTTTTTTCTTTCAACGCAATTTAAACTTTAAGCTCAATTACTATTAAATTTTAGTCTAAGTGTTTTTTCCTCACCTCACCTTGCCCGAAACGCTATGCATACTAGTTATGTACTGTATGTACTACCTCTATCTTTAAATCAAACAGAATGTTTGTACTGTAACTACAACTTTGTATGTACTTTTTCTAAATAAATTATTATTATACTTTGGAGTGGTTATGACCTGGGAATGCCAAAAAAACAGGAGAGGAAATGGTAAAGTGGTCAATGTAGTAGAGGAAGGCAAGACGGCTAAAGAAGCTGCAGGTGAGGAAAGCAGACTATATTCAGTGAAAGAGAAAGTATGCTGTGTGAAGTCAGAAGAGGTCAATTTGTAATTAATGGCTAGTTCCATTGGAATTGGACAGTGGTGCTGCAGTGTTAAACTTGTCTAGTTAACTTTTTGTGGGGTTGCATTCTGGGGGAGGGGGACTTCAGTATAAGCCTAACACATACTGAATGTATAACCTGGCTTCCTGTCCCCAACAATGAATTATTATTATTTTATGTCTTTGGTGCAGCCTTTTGAGGTATGGTTAAAACCTTTACATCTAAAGCACTGAGTGGGACGTGGTATGTACACCTCTAATTTATGGAGTAAGCCGTTAATCCAAAACTAATTAGGGGGAAAGTAGTCTAGAAAAGTAAGTAGGGCAGTGCCTGTATCACTCAGTGGCAGTCAGTATCCTTGCCCGTAACGCTGTGCGTATTAGTGGCTTTAGGCATAATATGTACTAGCTCTATCTAGAAACCAAACATTATGTTTGTATCTCATTTTGAATGCATTTACTTTTACCTGAATAAATATCATCTTATGTTGTTGTGGGGGTGCAATCTGGGAGGGGGGGGGGGTCAGTAATTCAACCCACATTGGGGGGTGGGGAGTTGACCTCCATATAGGCCTATAACATGTTTAGATTAGATTTTTCAAATGCAATGAGTTTCAGGCATTTGCCTGAAACGTTATGCGTATTAGTGGCTTTAGGTATTGTGTGTACTAGCTCTATCTATAAATCCAACATTATGTTTGTAAATCAACTATGTATGTACTTTTCCTGAATAAAAAATTATTTATGTATAAACACACTCTGGCTACCTGTCCCCCGACACAATGAATTATTGTTGTTGTTGTTTTACATTTAGCTACTCAGAACGAAATGTCCATGTAGCACAGGCTATGGTGAACCCGTAACACAATGAATTATTATTATTGTACAGTACCTCAACAATCTTCTTCTTCTTCTTCTTGATAGTAGGTGCCTTTTGCATGAAGGGTTTGTCCTCCCAACGACTGCACAGCTCAAAAATCTGTTGTTTTTGAGGGGCGACTACGATCAAGGAATCGGGCGTCCGTCCACCAGCGATTGGTGATGTTGTTGTTGTAGTGGGTTGGGGGCAGGTAGAGCACACGCGCAGGTGAAGACCTCAGTGAGCCAGCACAGTACACGACGGTTCCTGCTGCTGCTCGCTCGCTCAGGAGTTACGAGTATCACGAAGCAATTACTAAACTACTTACGAACGTGTACATGAACAAATCCACAGGGTTCGAACGTGTGCATCTTTCCTCAATCTTTGACAGCTTTGGCTATATTTATTAAACAGTTTACAAACATGAAAACTACTTAATCAACTGTTGTTATTGTTATAATAAATAAATAAATAAATAAATAAATAAATGTTTATTTAGGTAAGGTACATACATACAAGAGATTTTTACAAAGATTGGTGGACTTATAGATAGAGCTAGTACATACAATGCCTAAAGCCACTATTACGTAAAGCGTTTCGGGCATGAAAAACTTAAAGCTTAATACTAATTGAGTATAAAGAATAAAATGTGTTGAGAATAAATAAAAATAGAGATAAAAAAGGGGGGAACATGACTGAAAACGCAGCACAAATACAATTAGGTCGACAAACAGCGTTGTTTAAAAAAAAAAAAACATGGGTTGACAATAGGGGTAAGGTAGGTTACCGGGAATTTATTAGGTAGTGCTTCGTTTTTAACTTAAACTGGTTGAGAGAGGTACAGTCTTTAACATGGTTGGGAAGGTCATTCTACATTCTGGGTCCCTTGATTTGTAGAGCATTTCTAGTTTGATTAAGTCGTACTCTTGGAATATCAAAACTGTATTTATTTCTGGTGTGGTGCTCATGGGTTCTGTTACAACCTTCAATGAAGCTTTTGAGGTCAGGATTGGCATTACAGTTCAGCGTTTTATATATGTATAATACACATGAGAGAATGTGCAGTGACTTAATATCTAACATATTCAGAGATTTGAGTAGGGGTACCGAGTGATGTCTGGGGCCAGAGTTGGATATTGTCCTAATAGCAGCTTTGAGTTGAGTAATTAGAGGACGTAAATGATTTTGGGTAGTAGAACCCCAAGCACAAATACCATAGTTGAGATATGGATAGATGAGGGAGTAATAGAGAGTCACCAGGGCAAGGCGGGGTACATAATATCTGATCTTAGAAAGAATGCCAACAGTTTTTGAAACTTTTTTTTTGATAGATTTAGAATGTGTCCCTGGAAATTCAGCTTGTGGTCAATGAGAACGCCAAGGAATTTTTAGTTAGTTAGTTTAGTTCATTTATTATGCACCCCATACCCATCTCAAGTTCAAGTTCAAGTATGTTTATTGAGATAAGCAATAAATTCATCTCAAAGGGATAGAGTAGCTTAGGCTATTTCTACCCCCCTCTACTTCAAGTCCCTCAAGGGGCGCACAAATTCAGTGAGTACAAATAGACAAATAACACTACAAGAATCCCATTTAACATTGCAGGTTTATATAGTAAGTACAGCATATAATTGTTACACTCTCGGGGGCAAAATTCTTGTAGCTTCTAAGTATACTGTCTATCATACCATTATCACACATCCAAACAATTTGATGTGGTAGACTATTTATTTCCTTATTTCTATAGTTTTCAATAAGTTGACACTCTAATACATAATGTTCTAAGGTGTGGGCGTGCGGCATACTACATAATTTACACTCCTTATCTTTTTCACTGACATCAACACCGTATTGCCAGATATATTTGTATCCTAATCTTAATCTCATGTAAATTGAATCCTTCCAAGTAGACTTTCCTCTACCATAAGTGAAGGACGAATTTGTATTTATTATTGAATAATTCTTAAGTGTGTTACTACTGTCCACCATTGCCATTCTCTTTACCATTTCTTCACCCTCCTGGATCATCTTGATTCTTGTTTTTATTTGTTTCAAGGTTAACTGACATACAACATCAACAAGAGTTTTTTCAGTGGCTCTCTTCGCTATGTCATCAACTACCTCATTCAACAGTATTCCCACATGTGAAGGGATCCACATGAATCTTACTTTATACCCAGTTTTTTCTAGTCTCTTAACATTCTCTCTACACTCTATCACAATATTCTGATATACTGGGCGTCTGCTATTTAAAGACTCTAACGCTCCTCTGCTGTCAATAAAGAAGCAAGCATTTTTACCACATTTGACTACTTCCTGTAATCCTGCTAATACTCCTTGGAGTTCAGCCTGCGTTGAAGAGACATTGTCAGTTAAGCGGCGTCCAATAACAGTATCTACAGTGCCGATGTCAGTGTACTCCCTGATCAAGACTCCACATCCTGCCTTCCCATCCCTAGCTACTGACCCATCACAATATACATGTAGAGTGTTTTCTGTAGGCAGTTTTCTAATTATACAATCATATGTTGCCCTCAGCTTTCCTATTTCATACATACTTTTTTTCTTATGCAAGGGAGTAATTACTACATCTACATTACAATCCTCCCATGGTGGTGTAAATTTTCTCTTGGGCACAGCAATACACTCTGTAATAACATCATACTTTATAACATTAGAACATAATTTATTCATATATACTCTCTTCTTCAGCATACACTGTTCACTACTTCCCACCTTTTGAACCGAGAGGATTAATTCTGTAACTGTTCTATTGTTACGTAAAGTATGGTGACAAATAAACACAGACACTAAGATACTATATATATATTTGGTCGAATATACAGAAGTACACAGGTGATACTTTGGTGTGAGTTGAGCGCACTGAGCGTCGGTACAGTATCTCGCAAGTGTCTGCTCTAGACCACACTTGAAAGTAGACTCTGGTTAATGTTTGCTATCCTGCTGCTTATATGCCCGGGCAACTCCTCACCGTATTGCCCGGGCAACACCTCACCTCATTCATCTCCAAAGGTTGACAGGAATATTAACAATGCATTTGGAGCGAGTATATTATTGGATAATCTACTCGCTACAGAACTCCCCCTCCCAGGGGATGAAAGGAAAAATACTTGATCAAGGAACTTAGCTGGTCAGTGAATTGTACGCCCTGCTCGCGTTACATAACCATCAAAGTTAACTTTCTCCTTTTCGCTGATGTCATCTAACTGGGGTCGTAGGGTGGGAGGTCGCACAGGATCGTCCGTCGTCGTAGGATCAGGTTGTGATAATAATACAAGCTAATACTTTCAATACCTCTATATCTCTGAGGGATTCCAGTTATCTCGGCAGGTATGGTACTTTTGACATAACATGAGACCCCCCTAGTTCCTCCATCAGCATATAAGTGAAAACCTCTATAGCCATTTAGCCTCAGAATGCTACCATCCCTATCCCCAGTTTCCTGGAGTGCTACTATGTCAATATCCTCTCTAAGAGTATAATAGTGTACATCCACCGCTCTAGTTTTTAATCCATTAATGTTCCAAGATAATATTCTCAATTTACTTTCATCCATGATTAATAATAAAACTACCTTTGCTAGTGAAATAGAAAGAAATCCGAAATATTTTTTCTCCTATGCAAAATCAAGATCAAAAACCACATCTAGTATCGGGCCCCTGCGAAAGGGAGATGGAACTTTCACCGATGACAACAAAGAAATGAGCAAGCTACTGAGGACGCAGTACGACTCTGTTTTCAGCGAGCCATTAAACACACTAAAGATTGATAACCCAAATGAATTTTTCATGGATACGATACCAACATCAAATCATATATCAGACGTCACCCTATCCCCACTGGATTTTGAAGACGCCATAAACAGTATGCCTATGCACTCTGCACCAGGCCCGGATTCTTGGAACTCCATATTCATAAAGAACTGTAAAAAACCACTATCGCAGGCCCTCCACATTCTGTGGAGACAAAGCCTAGATACTGGCGTTATTCCTGATATACTAAAAACAGCAGAGATAGCACCACTTCATAAAGGAGGAAATAAGGCAGAGGCAAAAAATTACAGACCGATAGCGCTAACATCGCACATCATAAAATTTTTTGAGAGAGTGCTAAGAAGTAAAATCACAAAATACATGGAATCACAGCAACTCCATAACCCCGGACAACATGGTTTCAGAACAGGGCGCTCTGATACTCTGATACGTCCCACTGATACTTTAATGAATTTAACTGAATGGGGTGGGCACATTGTTTCACCAAGGCATGTAACCCACATGACTTCTTATCTGCGTCTGGAAGAGACTTAAACAACAACTTAGGGTAGTGAATGTTGTACTTTTGTTTCTTGCTAATGGAAGCAATTACTGAAGGATGATCTACCATTTTAATGGGATAAACTACCTGGCCCAACTTCAATCTGCACTTCCTTGCTCCCTCTTGAGCAGACAAAGAAAAGTTAACTCGTCCCAGAAAATCCATTCCCAATAAAATCTGACCAGGGAATGCAAGATTCTCGACAATCGTGCAATTGTGTGGGTACGCTTCTCCCTTACCAACTTCAAAATTAAGAGTGGCCTGGCCCAAGATATTAATATGTTGACCATTCACTGCTGTTAAATGCTTCCCACAACGCTTAAGGCGTGTCTCTTTAAGTGTGCTGAAGGCTGACTTTTTAATGAGCGTTGCTTGACTTCCGGTGTCCACAAAAACTGTCAATCTCACACCTTCAACCGTCATCTCAAACGTAGGTCTGCCAGCCTACGTGCTGACCTGTTCTGGGTCACCCTTGACCCGTGTGCTCGTGCCCACATACCTGTAATGGCCTCGGCCATGACACTTCCAACAAATTTCATCCCCAATTTTACGCGTCCCAGAAGCCCGCTGGCTACATTCCCCAGCAACTTCTGTAGAGGCGACACTAGGAATGGGGGTGGGGGGGAAGAGGGGTGGAGGGGAGGTGAGGAGCAAGGTGTAGGATTAATGGAGGGGGTAGGGTGGGTGGGTTGGGGGATAGAGGAGAGGGTGAGGGAAGGCCGGGGGAGGAATGAGAAGGGGGAGGGGGTAGTAAACAGGAGGGTTGTAAGGTTGAGGATTGTAGGGAGGGGGGTTGTAAGGTTGCGGGTAATATGGAGAAGGGTTGTAAGGTTGGGAGTTGTAGGGAGGGGGTTGTAAGGTTGGGGGTTGTAGGGAGGGGGTTGTAAGGTTGGGGGTTGTAGGGAGGGGGTTGTAAGGTTGGGGGTTGTAGGGAGGGGGTTGTAAGGTTGGGGGTT